TCGAGAGTCTAAGATCTCACGAGCACTGTGTCTACACCGACGGCTCAGTCCAGTCTTCTACTGGACGGACTGCAGCGGCATGTAGGTTCTATAGAAATAATATTTGCACAAAGTCTGTCAGTGTCAGGCTAAACAACTGGCTGACCTCCACACAAGCAGAACTAGCAGCATTACATTTAGCAACCAGCACATTAAAAAATATTGGAGGAGGAATAATATTCTGCGATTCAAAGTCTGCTCTTCAAGCAATCGAAAACTTCTCTTGGAAGATCGACAGCAAGAACCTCATACTCCCAATTATAAATGACCTAATTGATGCACAGAGTAAAGGGTCTCGAATCTCCTTTGTATGGATACCTTCACACATAAATATAACCCATCATAATGAGACAGACATTGCAGCCAAATTAGCGTGTAACAAGTTTGAAGTTGAATTAGATCTAGGTATCCCCATCTCTGCTGTCAAAACTGTATTGGTCCAAACATTCAGATCTGATAGGAAAGAACTTACTGACTCCCAACGACCTGAAAGTACTAGTATAAAAAGCTATGATTTGTTCAGATCTGAAACCTACATCTATGGACAGCACAAAACGTCCACTAGACTGTGCGACACAGTGGTTGCAAGGATCAGGTTGGGTTACCGTTACCTGTGGCAGGTGGCTGCAGGTGACGGGTCTCCCAATCCTGAGCACTCCAGTTGCAAACTCTGTGAGCAGGAACTACGGCATGATCTCCCGCACTACATCACTGAATGCCCAGTTATTAGACCTTTCAGACCAGTTGGCATGAGGTACCTGGAGCTTTGCAATTACTTTATTCACTCTCGTATTCTTGAAGATATCCTCACAGTATACCCAAAATTTGCCAGTGCAGGCTATTAAACACATGACTCTGTATGACTAACCATCCTGCGAGATGGGGACTTGTATTACCACTGCTACCTTATTCAATCTTGTGGTGTTGATATCCTCAAAATGCATCCGGAGTCTGCCAGTGCAGACCGCTTATCACATGCCTCTGTATGACTAACCATCCTGTGTGATGGGGATTTCTTAGCATCACCTAGTTAGCTTTTTTGACACACTGTACTCCACTTCATATAGTCTAGGGTAGCTGCACTAATGCAGATGTACCTCATAACTTAATAAAAAAAAAAAAAAAAAAAAAAAAAAAAAAAAAAAGCGGACATAATTTGAGGATTATTGGAAGATATTATGTAGCAAACTGTGTGTTTAACATGATATTAGATAACAGCATTGATTACAATGGTAAAGTTGTATGGCACATACATTAGGGAATTGGGTAGCACTAGATACAGTGCGAGTTTCAAGCACTAGGTAGGAAACTATGAAGATGAGATTAGTTACTTTTTGGTTTTATTTTTGAATAAGGCAAAAGTTTGACAGTATTTAATTCGTTAGGGAGTGAGTTCCATAGACCAGGACCCTTTATTTGCATAGTGTGTTTACACAGATTAAGTTTGACTCTGGGGATATCAGAGATATTTATTTCTGGTGTGGTGATTATGTGTTCTATTACACCTGTCCAAGAAGAGTTTCAGAACAGGGTTTGCACTTAAGAACAGGGTTTTGTAAATGTAACTAGCACAAGAGAATGTGTGGAGTGAGAGTAATAGCATACATGTTTAGCATGTTTAGGGATTTAAACAGGGGGCTGAGTGTTGTCTGAAAACCGAGTTTGGTATTGTTTTGATAGCAGACTTTTGCTGGGTTATGATGGATTTGAGGTAGTTTACAGAGGTTCAGCCCCATGCAAATATTCCATATGTAAGATAGGGATAGATTAGTGCGTAGTATAGTAAGAGGAGAGCAGAGTAGGTTACATAATATTTTGTATGTGGGTGCTGAAGTTGAGTCTCTTGTCTAGTGTGATGTTTAGTGTGAGTTTGTTGGTTGACATCCATAAGTGAACTTTTTTTAGTTCATTGTTTACAACATTATTTAGTGTATGTGGCTTGAGGTCTGAGTAGATGAGGGTAGTATCATCAGCAAGTAATATAGGCGTAAGAATGTTAGAGACATTAGGCAGATCATTGATATATATATAAGAAATAGGAGAGGTCCCAAGATGCTGCCCTGTGGCACTCCTACGGTTAATGGTAGAGTAGGAGAGGTTATATCATTGATGGCCACATATTGGTGTCTGTCACTAAGATAGGATCGGATATAGTCAAGGGCAAGGCCTCGGATTCCATAATGGAGGAGTTTAAGTAAGAGGTAGTTATGGTTAACAGTATCAAAGGCCTTTCTCAGGTCAATGAAGAGGCCAATCGGAAACTCAAGGACTGAGTAGATTACATCAAGGAGACTAATAATTGCATCATTGGTACTTTTTGGGAGCGGAAGTCAAACTGACAGGGACTTTGTATGGTGAATTTTACGAGACAGGAGTAGAGCTGTTTGTAAATCATTTTTTCAAATATTTTTGATAACATAGGTAGGTTTGATATTGGTCTGTAATTGTTTATGTCTGCCGGATTACCTACTTTATGAACTGGCGTTACTCTTGCTTTTTTGAGGATAACAAGGAAGGTATGACACTCTAGAGATTTGTTGATGGTGTAAAGGTGTGAAGCTATAGGTGGCGCAAGGGCGTGGGAGGCGCTCTTGTATACCATGGATGGTATTTCACTAATATTCCCAACTTTGGTTTTTAGCGAGTGTATGATGGACACAACACCTGTCGGGCTGACTGGTGAGAGGAGAAGAGAGTTTGGATAGCTGCCTGAGAGATATGTGGTAACATGTGTCTGAGTCTGCGGGATTTTACTGGCAAGGTTAGCACCAACCGATGAAAAGAAGCTATTAAATTCAGTTGCCGTTTCAAGATCTGCTGCAGGTGTATAACCATCCTTGAAGAGTTTTATCTGGTTATGTGAATGTTGTTAAGCTCCTACGATGTTAGTGATGGCTCTCCATGTGCTTTTCATGTTGCCATTTGCTTCTTTGAATCTATTCTCATAATAGGAAAGTTTTTATCTTCTTATTATACTGGTAAGCACTGACGAGTACCTCTTAACTACTTTCTTTGTAACTTGGCCAATCCTAAATTTTTTTCATATTTCTGTTTCTTGTCGATTGCTTTGAGTATGCCATTTGTGAGCCAGGGATTGTTTAACCTTTTGTCTTTTACTTGCTTGGAGAGGAGAGGACAATGAGTGTTGTAAAGGCTTAGAGTTTTGGAATGGAAGAGGTTAATTAATGAATTTATATCCTGAGTATTATTGAATTCAGATTCCCAGTTTATATTGCGGAGTGCATTTGTGAGGTTGCCTATTGCTGCTTCACTGTGTAACCTAAAGGTAAGTTTGTTGTTAGCTGGTGGTGTTATGTCCATGTTCACTACGAGGAAGGTAGGATAGTGGTCAGTTGTTCTGTCAGTGATTATACCAGATGCAAGGGGGAGCTGTTATGTTAGTCCATAAGTGATACAAGGTAATAGCGGATGTTATTATCGGGTGGGCTTGGTGTTGTGGGGATTAGCGAACTGGAGTTCATGTAGTTTAGGAAATAGTCGACATGGGGGCTATTTTGCTGACTTTGGTCAATATTGAAGTCCCCTGCTAGAATGATGGGATTTTTGTTGAGATTGTTGTTTATGATAAGATTCCTTAGGTTATCTGGGAATGATGCTGTTAGTATTGGGAAATCTATAGATAGCTCCAATAGTCAAGGAGGATTTTAGAGATTTAATCGAGAACTAAGGAAAGGTATATTCACAGTAATCGTCTCTATCACTAATGACACTATTGCAGATGAAGGTATCGTAGTAATATATAGCTCTGCCACCTCCTTTTCTGTTAGGTCTACAGTTGTGAATGGCTTTATAACCAGCTAAGTTGTAAAGTTGGGTATAGTCTTTATCTAGCCAGGTTTCTGTTAAAATAATGAACGATAGTTTAGTACCCAGTACTGTGAGTAGTGCATTTATATCATCAAAATGTTCACCAAGTGATCTGACATTTTAGTTGAAAACTGATAAGCAAAAGTTATTTTGGAGATTGATTTTTGCAAAGTTAACAGAGTAATACTTGCAGTAGTGGTGATCAATATGTTGGTTATCATAGACTTGTGGTAGCAGGTTTAGTTCAGGATCAATATCAGCTTGCATGTAGATGCAATGGCGTCTAGATACAATAAGACAAGCAATTACAGAACAGTTAAATACTAATCTGCTGTAAATATATAGTAACTATAGCAAAAACACGACAATAAATTCAAATACACATATAATAGGAACAATTAGAATTACAATAAAGATCGATGTAGATAAACAAGAAGTGTGCCGAAGTTAGGTAAAAAGAAAACAAAGAATCAATAAAGCAAATCAGATTAATCAATAATACGAACAATGTACAATAAAAAAAATAAGTTGAATAATAATCATAAAGTAATATAATCTTAGTAATAATTAACTATAACTAGATCAGTTATGTTCCTATAATTAGTATGAACTTAAGAAAGCAAAGATGAACTCAGTTAATTAATTCCAAAAGATGACTAATATAGATCAAATTGATGTTATAGAGTAGTGTTAATGGTTCTTTGGTAAACTCAGGTCTTTATAAAGCCCTACTCGTAATATCTGAATTTTTTCACATCATATTTTATTATATTCATCAGTTTAATTAAATCATTGATGCTGTTATGGTGAATATGTTGTGATATAAATTGAAAGTAACGTTTCTTAGCGGTTCGCCCGGGCTGGCGGGGTGGCAGATGCCAGACGCGCCGGGCTGCTGTATATAGTGGGATTAGGAGCCACATACCCGTCCTGTGTGTACAGTGAGAGAAAGGTTAGAGCCAGACAATAGGTTCAGGTACTGGACCACAGTGATCGTTAAGCTGAACAATATACATGTGTGGGTAGTTGCATATAACTATCATTACACTAGCTAGCACCTCACGCGTGAAAGTGGCGGGAAGGAACATACGTATTCAACACAGTATTGTTTTGACGCCAGTGTGTGTGGCTGATGAGTATTGTCATCTCTATATATTCTCCTTGATGAATACTCGCGTATTCAACAAGCAATACTCGGGTTGTTAATTATTATATCATCGCTAACCTGAGGAAGGTAAGATAAAGTTTTGTTCAGTAATTATAGCCTCATAATAACCTAATATGTCGGGGAAGAGGCAGCCAGTTTATACCTACACTATAATAAAAAGTTTATACATACAGTATAAACTGGCTTATATCCAGGTCTCCCCAAGGTCACATTCCTGACCTCGCCAAGGATGCAACCCACCAACACGCTGATTAACTCCTGGGTACCTATTTACTGCTAAGTGGACAGAAGCATTAGGTGATAGGAAACGAGTCCAACATTTCTGTCCCGCCCGAGATTCGAACCCATAATTCTCGTTTGTAAGTCGAGAAGGAGCCCGAGAGTTGTACCAGGCACGATTGCGAAGAGATTGATTGGCACGATTGAGAAGAGAAGGGAAGGGAACTATCAGGGGAAGGGCACCAAGCCATTACGATTAAATAGCACGGGGAAGGGGTCAGGATAAGGACTTGGAATGGGACGGGGGAAAGGAATGGTGCCCCTACCACTTGGACGGTTGGGGATTGAACGCCGACCTGCATGAAGCGAGATCTTCGCTCTACCGTCCAGCCTAAGTGGTTATACATAGTGATCTCTGAATGTGTTCCCGCCACCAGATGGTCAAGTTCAAGTACCTTTATTGAGACAACATGATACATCTCAACTGGGTACTTGCTGAGGCTATGTCTACCCTCCTGCGGGTGGTGATGTGCAGTGTTGGTGATGTGCAGTGTTGGTGATGTGGAGTGTTGGTGATGTGGAGTGTTGATGATATGCAGTGTTGGTGATGTGGAGTGTTGGTGATGTGGAGTGTTGGTGATGTGGAGTGTTGGTGATGTGGAGTGTTGGTGATGTGCAGTGTTGATGATATGGAGTGTTGGTGATGTGGAGTGTTGGTGATGTGGAGTGTTGATGATATGCAGTGTTGGTGATGTGGAGTGTTGGTGATGTGGAGTGTTGGTGATGTGGAGTGTTGGTGATGTGGAGTGTTGGTGATGTGCAGTGTTGTGATGTGGAGTGTTGGTGATGTGCAGTGTTGGTGATGTGGAGTGTTGGTGATGTGGAGTGTTGGTGATGTGGAGTGTTGGTGATGTGCAGTGTTGGTGATGTGGAGTGTTGGTGATGTGGAGTGTTGGTGATGTGCAGTGTTGGTGATGTGGAGTGTTGGTGATGTGGAGTGTTGGTGATGTGGAGTGTTGGTGATGTGCAGTGTTGGTGATGTGGAGTGTTGGTGATGTGCAGTGTTGGTGATGTGGAGTGTTGGTGATGTGCAGTGTTGGTGATGTGGAGTGTTGGAGTGTTGGTGATGTGCAGTGTTGGTGTTGGTGTTGGTGGAGTGTTGGTGTTGGTGGAGTGTTGGTGATGTGGAGTGTTGGTGATGTGGAGTGTTGGTGATGTAGAGATGTGGAGTGTTGGTGATGTAGAGATGTGGAGTGTTGGTGATGTTGGTTGGTGAGGTGGAGTGTTGGTGATATGCAGTGTTGGTGATGTGCAGTGTTGGTGATGTGGAGTGTTGGTGATGTGGAGTGTTGGTGATGTGGAGTGTGTGGAGTGGTGATGTGGAGTGTTGGTGATGTGGAGTGTTGGTGATGTGGAGTGTTGGTGAGTGTGGAGTGTTGGTGATGTGGAGTGTGTTGGTGGTGAGTGTTGGTGTGTGAGTGTTGGTGATGTGGAGTGTTGGTGATGTGGAGTGTTGGTGGTGAGTGTTGGTGATGTGCAGTGTTGGTGATGTGGAGTGTTGGTGATGTGCAGTGTTGGTGATGTGGAGTGTTGGTGATGTGGAGTGTTGGTGATGTGGAGTGTTGGTGATGTGCAGTGTGGTGGTGATGGAGTGTGGTGAGTGTTGGTGATGTGGAGTGTTGGTGATGTGGAGTGTTGGTGATGTTCGTTGTTGATGTGGAGTGTTGGTGATGTGCAGTGTTGGTGATGTGGAGTGTTGGTGATGTGCAGTGTTGGTGATGTGCAGTGTTGGTGATGTGCAGTGTTGGTGATGTGCAGTGTTGGTGATGTGCAGTGTTGGTGATGTGCAGTGTTGGTGATGTGCAGTGTTGGTGATGTGCAGTGTTGGTGATGTGCAGTGTTGGTGATGTGGAGTGTTGGTGATGTGCAGTGTTGGTGATGTGCAGTGTTGGTGATGTGCAGTGTTGGTGATGTGGAGTGTTGGTGATGTGCAGTGTTGGTGATGTGCAGTGTTGGTGATGTGCAGTGTTGGTGATGTGCAGTGTTGGTGATGTGCAGTGTTGGTGATGTGGAGTGTTGGTGATGTGCAGTGTTGGTGATGTGCAGTGTTGGTGATGTGCAGTGTTGGTGATGTGCAGTGTTGGTGATGTGGAGTGTTGGTGATGTGGAGTGTTGGTGATGTGGAGTGTTGGTGATGTGCAGTGTTGGTGATGTGCAGTGTTGGTGATGTGCAGTGTTGGTGAGGTGGAGTGTTGGTGATGTGGAGTGTTGGTGATGTGCAGTGTGGTGGTGAGGTGGAGTGTTGGTGATGTGGAGTGTTGGTGATGTGCAGTGTTGGTGATGTGCAGTGTTGGTGATGTGGAGTGTTGGTGATGTGGAGTGTTGGTGATGTGCAGTGTTGGTGATGTGGAGTGTTGGTGATGTGGAGTGTTGGTGATGTGGTGATGTGTGTTGGTGTGATGTGGAGTGTTGGTGATGTGGAGTGTTGGTGATGTGGAGTGTTGGTGATGTGGAGTGTTGGTGATGTGGAGTGTTGGTGATGTGGAGTGTTGGTGATGTGCAGTGTTGGTGATGTGCAGTGTTGGTGATGTGGAGTGTTGGTGATGTGGAGTGTTGGTGATGTGGAGTGTTGGTGAGGTGGAGTGTTGGTGAGGTGGAGTGTTGGTGAGGTGGGGTGTTGGTGAGGTGGAGTGTTGGTGATGTGCAGTGTTGGTGAGGTGAAGTGTTGGTGAGGTGGAGTGTTGGTGATGTGGAGTGTTGGTGATGTGGAGTGTTGGTGAGGTGGAGTGTTGGTGAGGTGGAGTGTTGGTGAGGTGGAGTGTTGGTGATGTGCAGTGTTGGTGATGTGCAGTGTTGGTGATGTGCAGTGTTGGTGAGGTGGAGTGTTGGTGAGGTGGAGTGTTGGTGATGTGCAGTGTTGGTGATGTTCAGTGTTGGTGATGTGGAGTGTTGGTGATGTGGAGTGTTGGTGATGTGGAGTGTTGGTGATGTGGAGTGTTGGTGATGTGGAGTGTTGGTGATGTGGAGTGTTGGTGAGGTGGAGTGTTGGTGAGGTGGAGTGTTGGTGATGTGGAGTGTTGGTGATGTGGAGTGTTGGTGAGTGTTGGTGAGGTGGAGTGTTGGTGATGTGGAGTGTTGGTGAGTGTTGGTGATGTGGAGTGTTGGTGAGTGTTGGTGGAGTGTTGGTGATGTGGAGTGTTGGTGATGTGGAGTGTTGGTGATGTGGAGTGTTGGTGATGTGGAGTGAGTGTTTGGTGAGGTGGAGTGTGGTGATGTGGAGTGTTGGTGATGTGAGTGTTGGTGAGGTGGAGTGTTGGTGAGTGTTGGTGGAGTGTGGTGGTGAGATGTGGAGTGTGATGTGCAGTGTTGGTGATGTGGAGTGTTGGTGATGTGGAGTGTTGGTGATGTGGAGTGTTGGTGAGGTGGAGTGTTGGTGAGGTGGAGTGTTGGTGAGGTGCAGTGTTGGTGATGTGGAGTGTTGGTGATGTGGAGTGTTGGTGATGTAGAGATGTGGAGTGTTGGTGATGTAGAGATGTGGAGTGTTGGTGATGTTGGTTGGTGAGGTGGAGTGTTGGTGATGTGCAGTGTTGGTGATATGCAGTGTTGGTGAGGTGGAGTGTTGGTGATGTGGAGTGTTGGTGATGTGGAGTGTTGGTGATGTGGAGTGTTGGTGATGTGCAGTGTTGGTGGAGTGTTGGTGATGTGGAGTGTTGGTGATGTGAGTGTTGGTGATGTGAGTGTTGGTGTGGAGTGTTGGTGATGGTGTGGAGTGTTGGTTGGAGTGTTGGTGTGTGCAGTGTTGGTGATGTGCAGTGTTGGTGATGTGGAGTGTTGGTGATGTGGAGTGTTGGTTGCAGTGTTGGTGATGTGCAGTGTTGGTGTGTGAGTGTTGCAGAGTGTTGGTGATGTGGAGTGTTGGTGATGTGGAGTGTTGGTGTGTGATGTGGTGATGTGGCAGTGTTGGTGGTGAGTGTGGTGGTGTGGCAGTGTTGGTGAGTGTTGGGTGTGAGTGTTGGTGATGTGCAGTGTTGGTGAGTGTGTGAGTGTTGGTGATGTGGAGTGTTGGTGATGTGGCAGTGTTGGTGATGTGCAGTGTTGGTGATGTGGAGTGTTGGTGTGAGTGTTGGTGATGTGCAGTGTTGGCAGTGTGATGTGGAGTGTTGGTGGTGGAGTGTTGGTGATGTGCAGTGTTGGTGATGTGGAGTGTTGGTGATGTGGAGTGTTGGTGATGTGCAGTGTTGGTGATGTGGAGTGTTGGTGATGTGGAGTGTTGGTGATGTGCAGTGTTGGTGATGTGCAGTGTTGGTGATGTGGAGTGTTGGTGATGTGGAGTGTTGGTGATGTGGAGTGTTGGTGATGTGAGTGTTGGTGATGTGCAGTGTTGGTGATGTGGAGTGTTGGTGATGTGCAGTGTTGGTGATGTGCAGTGTTGGTGATGGTGTGTGCAGTGTTGGTGGTGAGTGTTGGTGATGGAGTGTTGGTGATGTGCAGTGTTGGTGATGTGGAGTGTTGGTGATGTGAGTGTTGGTGATGTGCAGTGTTGGTGTGGAGTGTTGGTGTGAGTGTTGGTGATGTGAGTGTTGGTGGTGAGTGTTGGTGATGTGCAGTGTTGGTGATGTGTGCAGTGTTGGTGAGTGTTGGTGTGTGAGTGTTGGTGAGTGTTGGTGTGGAGTGTTGGTGATGTGGAGTGTTGGTGATGTGCAGTGTTGGTGATGTGCAGTGTTGGTGATGTGCAGTGTTGGTGATGTGGAGTGTTGGTGATGTGAGTGTTGGTGATGTGCAGTGTTGGTGATGTGAGTGTTGGTGATGTGCAGTGTTGGTGATGTGGAGTGTTGGTGATGTGCAGT